TCACAACAACCACTTACCACCAGGTGGGCTGTGTGCTCGTTTGTCACCCTATTCCTATAAAAAAAAAACTTGAGATTTGCTTGTCTACTGCCAACTTTTGGAAAATCTCCACAGTAATTTCATTGAAAGATTCCAGGGCATTTTGAAATTGGAAACACCAGACTGGGTGTTAAATCCTTTTTCAAATGTCAACATAGCAGTATCACCCCAACTGGAAGAACTTTAGAACTGACAACGAACGAGGAAATAAAAATCAAATTCAAAAATGGCTACCACGAATTTTGGCTACAAAATCCCGCAGTTGTACCCTGTATTGTGGTCGATCGTTCAAGGATTTTTGATAGCATTCCCATCGTCATATTTGTGTGGACGTGAATTTAGCGCTGTGCAACGCTGCTTACTAAAAAAAAAAGAAATCGTTTGCATGTTACCGAACGCGGCGACTTTTTTGTCTTTTTGTTTTTGTTTTTTTTTTTTTTACTTTTTTGGCGGTTTTTGAGTACAATCGAACCTGATATCAATAAACTTGTTAAAAATCATCAAAATCATCCATCTCATTAGATTAGTTTTAAAACTAAAATTGATTATCTATCTATATTGTTTCTTTTAATTTAATTAAAATATATTCTTAATATTATAAAGTTGCCTTTTAATTGCTCTCACTGGTAATAATGTCTAGTTTAGAATGTAAGTTTAAACCAAGGAGGTTATAATATAATATAGGGAGTGAGCGCTTGGAATATTGTAACCGTTCCTCATTTTTCTTAGAAAGAGAGGCACCGAGTTTGGTATTTTATCTCTTTCTAACATTGATAAAAGTTTACACAAAATAAAAACATTACCAATGTTCAGACAGTTATTGACTTAAAGTAATATGTTAGACGTATGCTAGAACGATAATCTTACATCTTTTATCGCTAATCATAGTTGGTATATTCCATATTGTATTTTAATTAAGCTTATCATTGAGTAACACGAAAAAAACCACTAAAACACTTTAATGTATGAAATTTATGAATCCAAATGTCAAACAATTAAATTCTAACGTAATTTTAAATGGATGTCACTGAGTCTTGTAGATACCTCGATTTTTCTTGGAATCACATTAAATGCCAAGCTTCAATGGAGCCCCCATATATCAAAATTAGCAAGCAGACTTAGTTCTGCAGCATATGCCGTAAAAAAGATTAGAAGTCTAACTAGTGTTGAAACAGCTAGACTAGTTTACTTTAGCTATTTCCATAGCATAATATCGTATGGTATTTTGCTATGGGGACACACAGCTGACACTGAAATTATATTTGTTTTACAGAAGAGAGCCATAAGAGCAATTTATGATGTAAAGCCTAAAGAGTCGCTGCGACAAAAATTTAAGGAAATTAATATATTAACTTTGCCTCTCAATACATTTATGAAAATGTAATGTACGTACACAAAAATAGAAGTAGTTTTACAAAAATAAGTGATATTCATTCTGTAAATACTAGGAACAGACACAAGGTAGTAGTACCAGTTACTAGACTCCATCGAGTCAGTAAGTCATTCTTGGGGCGATGTATACGCTTTTACAACAAAATTCCAGAAAATATACACAATTTGACTTGCTCAAAGTTGAAAAACTTTAATAAACTAAGTTTGAATAAAAAGGGTTATTATAATATTAAAAAAAATTATGGATGATAATAACCCCTGGAAATGAGGTGATCGCTACCAAGCTATTTCTAATTTGTTGTGTTGTTAATTTGTGTAACATCACGATTGTAAGCTGTTATTTAAAAAAAAAGTTCCGCTGGGTTTCTTGCTGGTTCTTCCCAGGACAGAGATTTTTTTTCGAACCAGTGGTAATTAAACAAAAGAGTGACTTTCAATAAGTATTATTTATAATCTATATTGAATAAAAAAGTTTCTGTTTCTGTTTCTGTTACACGAATGTTCTATCCCTAAAAACTAGGAGGTTCATTTTACATTATATATGACAACACTATTTTAAAATTTGACGTTGTCAAATGAATGAATATATTGTTTTTTTAACGAGCACACAGACCACCGGATGGTAAGTGGTTGCTGTAGCCCATCCTAGTTTGCGAATCAAAATGCAGATGCGCTGTCACCCGTGAGTACTAAGATGGAATGCCTCTTTTCCAGTAAAAAGGGTCTCCGGTTCTCTACACTCACCATACGAAATACATCAGTGTTGAGCTGCTATTTTACGCTGGCTACTTATATAGCTGCAGCATGGCTCTACCACGTAGAAAACGCCTTGTGCTAATCATTCGCTAAATCTATGTAGATTGCACTCACTTAGGGAGCGTTAATTCAAGTTTAACTTTTTTTCGGAACAGTAGAAAGAGTTTACAGGTTCTTTACATCATCCACACGTCAATGGGAAACTTTAATAAAAAGTGTAGGCGTATCCGTCAAAAGACTCTCAGAGACAAAATGAATTGCTCATCATGACGTTGTTAAACCATTGCAGAATAATTAAAAAAAAAACTAGTATAAACACTCGAAGATATATATGATCCCAGCACCAACAGAGAAAACGTCTGACTACTTCTACTTCAGTTTTTTATGCTATCTTTCCTTTTGGTGTAAAATCCTAATAGAAGTTAGTCAGACACAAAAGCAAATACTAAATAATAATCTAGATTATCATTGGAAAAGTATGAGATAAAAATCAAAGCCCAAAAATTTTTCTTCAAAGCCAACGTATTCAACTAGTGGAAAAAGCTATTTTCTACGTAACAAAAAATGTGAGAATGTGGAAATTTCGATTGAAGAAATAAGAAGAATGAGGAGATATCGAAAGCGTTTACCAGGAGAAATGACCTGATATGCTGGACTGACATTGCCAGAGAAGCTGCAGAGAGCTATGTTAGAATGTCTTGACATATTTTACGAGGAACTAGACCATCGCTACAGATCAATGGATGATATTCTCGTAATATTTAGTATTGTTGAGCCTTACACTCTGCTAACGTCACCAGATAAGATCTTCGTGTAATAGTTCAAAATCTGACAAAAATCTACGATGAATTTTCTGCTTTTTTTGTTTTATGACTTGAAAGTTGCCAGCATTTCTTCCCAAGAAGCGGTTCAATGTAATTCATTGGAGCTTTTCTCATAAAATTGGGCTATTCTGAATCTGTTCCGAATCTAGCGCTGTGTCTAAGATTTTTTTACTATTAAGTTTCATGTGAAGGAAGCTTTTCAAAACTCAAGTTAATAAAATCTTACTTAAGGTCCACAATGAGCCATGCGCGACCTTTTTTTTCTTCCATTTTATCTATCGAAAATGACAAGAAAGTAAACTTTGATAATATATTAGTATATTTTAGCAAAATATAGTCCCGTTAGCATGTATAGCATTTTTTGTTTCATTTTGGGGGGTGCTTGATAGAAAACCGCTCTGGGTGTCAGTCAACCCACGCTACGCCGCCACTAGTTACCGTAAGGTTTGATACTAGCGAAGCAATAATGTAATCAAAATATTAAACGGAGTTTAATTATAACACTGTTCAGCACTTTCCATATTGAAAAAATACGCATTTGGTTTTCCGTGATGCTGTATACACTAATAATATTCTCAAAATATTGTATCATGGACACTCTATTAGAAAGAAATGCAACGCCCAACTCGGTGCCTTTCATTCATTTCAAGGTCACTGGTTTAGGAACGTTTCTCTAGAATGAAGTGCGCACTCCCTATATTTTACAACCTCCTTGGTTTAAACACCAGAACCGACTAATATAGAACACTATAACCACATGAGTAAAGGAACCGTACCGTACTATAACTAAATTTTAAGTATCATAACGAAATTGTGGATTTTAAGTTTTAGGAGTGTATAAAAAATTGGGCGCGATGAAAAATAATTGATTTTCAAAGGGGGCGGTAAAAGAAATAAGTTTGGTAATCTCTGGTCAACCTAGTAGTTCCCAATATACGCGACACTTATATGCCTACTAATTTTTTATGTCTAAATGACGAAGAACTAACATTGGGTCCATACAAGCACCGAATTAGTGTTTCTAATGAGCGTTAGTGTTTATTTTGCATGAAAATTCAGCTTTTTGTATTTATTTTATTCCCTTTTTAGGGTTTGATGAATGCCTCTCTGCATAAATTGTATGCTTATTCGTAGAGAACGGTTTTAGTTTCACAATTACCTGTTACTTTTATGACACATTGTGTAATTGTTTGATTTCCCAAATAAAAAAAGGTATTTCAATCAACTTTAGGCCGGCCACATACATACGGAATTCCGTTTCGTGATTCCGTTTCGGAATCCTGAACCGGGATTCCGTGAATAATCACACACACGCGTCTTTTTTCCGTTCGGAATAACAAGGGTCAGTTGAGAGAAGTTAGCCATTGAATCTAGACATTCTGCCAGCGAATAATGACGACGATTTTCTAATTGCAAATTACATTGTTGCTGTATCATTCTTACTAGGTGCATCCCCTTATCACCCTAAGCTTGCAATATAGTCAATACTATGTAAAAAGATCTATCTATCCAGAGATATTTTTTAAATATTTATGTATGTAAATTCTATCGACGAATTATTAAATAAAATAAGATGAAAGGTTACGAAAAGCTATACACCTACAAGATTAAATGTAAAAACATACATAAATACACCTACTCGCTTCGGTCGTGCGACGAACACTTCCCTATATATAATGTACTCTGTGACGAACACTGAGCGCATTCCGTACGGAATTTACGTATGTGTGTTGCGACTCGTACAAAATCTATGGAAGACGTGCGTTCGGAGCGGCTTTTTTCCGTTCGGGATCCCGAACGCACAGGCCATACGGAATCTCGAATCGGAGAAATTCCGTACGGAAAAATAACGTACGTGTGTGGCGGGTCATAGAATTTTATATGGACTTGCTGCGTTCGGAATCCCGAATCGGAATATCGAAACGGAATCTCGAAACGGAATTCCGTATGTATTTAGGCCGGCCTTAACGTGCGTTGTTACGTGCACAGTGCAGTATCCCGCCGTACGTGAGCCCCAGCCAGATGTCAGTGGCTGCGCCGCCGGCGGGCGGGCCGGACGAGTTCCGCGAGCGCGCGCTGATGCACATGATGGATGGCGTGCTTGAGAAGCTCTGGCACGAGGAGATCAAGAAGCCCGTGCCCGTGCCACAATGCATGGTATCTCTTTAGTACAAATATATTTTTTTTTACGTAAATCCCACACTAGGATTTTCTCACAGTTTTTCTGGCATTTTATAAACACAAATTTCACAAGGACAAACATCCAGACCCGGAACAATTATTTGTAGCCCATACAAATACTTGTTCCGTGCGAGATTCGAACCCGCGCCCCCAGCGCAGCAACTCATTGCTAAGCCACTACGCCACGGAGCCGTCCCTTTATACATTATTACCCCTCATTACAAATTAACAATTGGAAAATTTGCAATTCTAAAATGATTCCAGTAGCTAAGTTGAGGAGTGTGGGCTGTGGGTTTGTTTACAAATTTAGGAATGATTCATAAGTAAAACTTGACTCCCACATAACCTTGATAAGTTACATGGACATGGATTGAGTCGTCGTGTTTAGTATTGGTAAGACTTGGACGAGTCAGAAGTTGGATCGTTATCGTTCCGTCCAATTGGTATCGTATCATCAATATCGTTGAGGCTGTTACCCATAGACACCCACATCGAATAAAGAATCAAAGACGCATTATAGTTTACAATTACCATATCATTAAAGCCCATCATAAGTCCACTGCTGATTACAGGCCTCCCTAAAGAAATGTCACAAAGCACAGCAGCGTTGTAGTTTAGTGCCCCCAGTACTAGATAGAGTGACGATCTTATAAGAGATGCCGGAAATTGATGGATGCGGGTGGCTCCAAACCGTGTTTTGTGGTGTTCTTCATGAATTATTATAGAAACAACTTGGTGAAAAACATTAATGCAAGTGACATGTGTGTTGTCAAATACAGTTAGAGAAGGATCCAGAGCATTTCAACGAGGACGATCTACGCCTAGTGTTCGATTACGAAGCGAAAGTCGCGTTCCGTAACGAGGAGCGCGAGAAGTACCGCAAGATGTTGCACGCGGAGTATGCCAAGCTCTCGCAGTTCCTCAACGAAGGCATCGTCAAGTTCAATCTGAAGGTAAGCCGTATAGTCATTGCTATTCATTAAAAACGTGCTGTATTCTGACGATATAAGAGAATACAGTAATGTATTTGGTCTTGTGGATTTTGTAATACCACTTTTTGTCCACATGCACACACATTTTTTTTTAAATGTTACACGCAAGAACCAATATCTCCTGTATTGTGGAATCAGTTTAAACACATAAATTGCACTAAGACAAACATCCAGCACAATTATTCTCTTCATCAATCAATTAGTCAATTTAATACATACACAAAAACCTAACACTTCTTGATTAGTTAACATTTTGGATACTTATTCTGTTTTGTATTTGTTAAGTTACTCGGAAACAAGATTAATACATTTTTAATGACTACAATTTTCCGAGTAGTGCCGGCGTAAGAGGATCATCCCGTGAGTGTCGTCAGAGGCGACAGAGGGAAATAGGAATATGAGATTGGCAGCAACATCTTCTGATAACAATTTAACATCAAATGTACATGCATGCTCGTGAAGGTGCTCCCCACGGCTGGTTTGGATATTTTACCTCTGACGTTAATGAGATGTTCAAACAATCAATGAGAAGTTAAAAAATTCTGAAAGGCACATGAGGACCACACGTGACCATGGGTGCTGTAAAACTCTCAAAACGTCGTGAATTTAATTTTTTTTTAATAAAGTTATATTAAACGCAATAAAACTTACGTAAAAAGTCATTTTTTTCTATAGAAATTAGATATAATGGGGAAATTGTCAGAGCGAACGTTTTTTTTTCGCTTACGGGTTTTTAAAAATATTTTTAATGATTAATTTGAATTAGTATCGAATCCTTAGAAAACTCCAACAGCACGAATTGGATTTTGGATCTGGGTTGACCTTAAGATGGGCGATTGGGCACAATTAAATACACACATACTTACTGCAGGTGAAAGATACGTGGCTGCTGAAGTTGAAGGTTGATTCCATAATCGGTCAAGAAAATCTGATTCTTATGCGACTTCGACGGACAAATTTAGATCGCATCGAGATGGCCGAACAGATGGAAGAAATAAGGTGACTAACATAGAATTATTAGATACGCATAGAATACTAGTACGCGCACCGAAAGTGAAGCAAGTTAAACTAACGCGAAACCGCGTTAGTTCACTCAGCGACGCGTCAGTGCGCAACGTCACGTATTACGGAGAAGAGCTCGCGAAGAATTGTGAAAATTACCGTTTGTGTTGTAAAATATTATCACAACGATGATGATAAACATAAAAGAAGTGATGGTATTACATTTCACATATAAGTTTATACATTTAATTCATTATAAGTACGTAAAACTAAAAAAATACTTACCTAAGCTCTCAAAATACAAATGTTGCTAGTTGTGGGGAAAAAATCACAATTTTCTTTTAAAAATATTTATTTTGTATATGTTTTTAAAACGTTTAATCGCAACGCTCTGTGTAAAACTCAAATGTTTATATATAGATACCTACTTCTTTAAGTGTTAACATTATATTAACAATGGGTGCCTATTTAAAACTAATACGGAGTGATCAGCTAATCGCGATTCGTCAACGCCATTTTAACGCAACTATTTTATTTTAATTGTTTTGTTTATTTACTTAGGCTAAGTTTTAGAGTACAGAATAAAAACTTTTTTATTTACAACATCAAGAGATTATTAATAAGAACGCCTTTAGTAACCAGATGCCACTTTACACCCAAACATTAACCTGATGTTACGTTAGACCCAAACATAGCCTATTTTAACCGACTCCCAAAAAGAAAGGTTATCAATATGTATGTACACTGATTTCTAAGCTTGATCAATTCGTATATACATGCTGAAATTTTAGTGGTTGTTGTCCCGCAGCCAAATTATACTGTCTCGATAGTAGAGTCAATTTATTAAATTAAAAAACATTACAATTAAAAAAGGGCAGATTTACAATAGTAATACCTCACAAACTAGTCGGGCGTCCAGACTAGTTTATGTCGTGTCACTACGCTTGAGAGTTCATGTTATGAACATTTATTAGTGGCCCTTTACTTTGTAGGAAGCGGTAGCGCGTGCGAAAAACGTAACACAACATTACGTCCAGTGAATTTTTTTTCAGACTTTATTATAGTAATTCGGTATAAGCCAGCCTGCACGCCCGACCTACTTGCGAGATATTACTGTTGGTTTATGATCGCATTCGACTTTTGTTTTTCTCGATTGTAAATCTGCCATTTTTGCATCCTAATAATTTTTACTTTATTAAATCTATTGTACTACTAAGGCAAAATCATTTTACTTCGGGAAAACAACCATTAAAATTTCAGCGTGTATATTGGATCAATCTGTGTGTATATCCTTTCATATAAAAAATCTAAATCGGTTTAGAAATTGTAGAATTCTGAGGTAAAAATCATTAAAAAATACATCGAATTGATAACCTCCTCCCTTTTTGAAGTCGGATATAATTAAACATTACCCGATGTGCTTATTATATTCGAGCAAATTAATTGTGTTTAATAATATTCTTAAAATTTATTACGTCTGCATTTTTGTACCATTAATATATGTATAATAAAGTTATATTAGTACCATTATTATCGTGTTTATTTTATTCCATTTTATATTCTCATAAAATAGATCTTCGTACGTAATACGTAATCTTTATTATATCGGTTTTTTAAAATTAATCAAAAAATAGTTATTTGCACAATTTGATTGCAAACGCCAGAAACTGGTATCACTGAATGACGTGTATGTGTGCGTGTGACGAGCGTAGGCACATTCGACTCGCGCCCACTAACATAATGACTTTGCATCATTTTAACGCTCGTGTTTTGTACTAGACTGCGTTTCTATGGTGACTAAATTTAAGAACAAAATGACAACGGCTGTGTGCTATAGAATTTTATCACATATTGTTATATTTTAGAAATAACATATCAAAATACGAAGCAGAAGTAGAGCAGTTGCAGAAGGAGATCCAACAGATACAAGAACAGAGCGAGGAGTGCCAGGCGTCATATGATGCACTGGCGCAGAAAGACAGACACATGGACAAGACCTTCAAGAATCACTTTGCTGATCTGTCACCGATTATAGTTGATCAGTGTTACAAATTTTTCAAGTAAGTTTCGATTTTGATGAACTGTGCGTTTTTTAGTTAACAATCTTTAAATTTTACCAATTATTTTTATATACTAATCAATGTTTAGATATTAAAGGATTTAAAGTTATTTGCAGAATTTTGACAAACCAAACTGGCAACGAAATATTCTATCTTGACCTTAGGGGTAACAACGCATCTGCGTTTGGTTTATTAGTGGCGGATAGATGTACGAGTAGGTGTATATGGGGCACAACATCTATTTAGTATGAGATGGACTGCGCGCTCAACACAGAGTAGTGATCACTTGACACCGTTAGGTACTTCTATAAAAATAATGTAAAATCTATATGCTAGGTTTAACCACGAATTATCCAATGTAAGTGGATTTTATACATGCTTTTTACTGAAATTTTCTACAAAGCAATAGCTTTCTTTAGAGCTACGGCTTAAATAATTCTCGCATTTCAGTGAAATTATAAAAAAAAAATTATTATCCGTGTGAAATTTTAAAAAAGTTAACCATCTAATAATGAGCGTTGTAGTGGATGAACGGTATGAACTGATTTTAAGCGATTTTATGAATAATATAATATACACCGACTTCATCTCTGAATGTCAACCTCACTGGCACGTGTGGCGAACTGCTAATTAAAGGAGAGGTTGCGGATGATAGTTTATATTGGAAAATGTCACAAATGTCTGGTGTTGGGTATTAAAAACTATACCGCACTCACGAAACTGTCCGTCCAACGTGGTAAAGTCCCATTTCTGAGACGGTTTTAAGGCAAGGAAGAGTCTATCGCGATTTCCAAATGCGTGTTGGCGGATTTTATATGTCTTCAATATAATATTTTTAATTCCTGAGGCACGCATGTCCAACTCGATGAGATATAATGATAAGAGATAAGATCTTTTCAGACATATGACTTATATGAATTTAAAGGGCGGATGAGGAAGAAAGGATAAAAAGGACCGTTAATAAATATGATTCATGAATTCATTACAGCCCATCAAAAATCCACTGCTGAACATAGGCCTACCCACGGAATATAAAAAACAAGTTTTTTATATTCCGTGGGCATACCTACCCCATAGATTGCCTCATAGGGCGGCTTGGCAACAGTATTTTCTCATTATTTAGAGCTGTTGTCAGTAAGATGCTACTGTCTATCTCCTGTTTCAGTTTCCTTCTGTCGCCTCTGACAACACTCACGGGATGATATTGCGTATGATATACTTGTGACGTGATATTGTCCGTCGGCAGGAAGCGTCCGAAGTGGCAGCAGCGCGCGAGCATGACGCCGGGCGTGCTGCTGCAGCTGGCGGGTGCGGCAGCGGGGGGACCCCGGCCGCCGCTGTTGCATCCCGACTGCCTGGACTATCTGCGCGGGTGTGTACACCACCTTTCACGCTCTTGTTCTTGTGCCCAACCCTATGGGGCAGGCACTGGTCATGTCCTTGCACCAACTGAATGTCATCCACCGACAGAGCAATAATAGATTTAGGCCCGAGCTCGGATTAGAATCCTCGGATTAGTCCTCATGATCATCAACCGCATGTACGACCACTGAACAAATAGGCAGTCAGAGCTCAATCATACAACAATGCATTCATCTTCCTTCTTCAATAAATCTTTTTCGGTTACAGCTGTACGCTTGTGGAACTCATTGCCTTTATATTAGTCTTGAGAGATGGCGACGAATTTTTGGGAGATCCTTTTGGGAAGTGGAAATTGTGAAAAAATATAATTTTGTCGATTGGCGAATCTAGTCCCGCGAGTTTGGCAGAGGGTTTGCGGTTATTTCATTACTGCGCAGTATATAACGTTTGCAAAAGAAATATCAATGAACGGTGATGTGGTACAACCTTTTTTAATTATCTCTCTCGTACTTATGGCTGCGCATTAGATTTTTTGTCGTGTTCATTTGTAAACTTTATTTACTTCTGGGAATTATTTAAAACCGCTAAATTTGTATGGCGATTTGCAGGTATTATAAAAATTACTCAATAAATACGTGAAAAAATTATTTGAGGTCGCCAAAAGTATATTTTTTGGGAATTTAATAAAATATTTTTGGAGAGGTCTGGTAATACTTTATAATCGATAAAAACGTCTGGGAATATTTTCTTTTTGAATTATTTAAAAACTGAATTAAAAGATAAAAAAGAAATCTAGTTGCCAAAAAAAACATATTTTGGATATTTTTTTTGAAAATGTTACAATATTCTGCGCAGTAACGAAATAATCGTGGGACTGGATTTGCCAATTGACGAAATTAAATTTTTTCACAATTTCAACTTGCCCAAAGGACCTTCCCAAAATTCGTTGCTAGCTTTCAGACTTTTTATATTCGACGTGTTCAGTCCCTTTTTTTATTCAAAAATTATTACTTGGAACTCTAATATTTCCCATCATAATTCCCGTCCTTAATTGCATCTATCCAACCTATCCTCAACCGTCATCATCTTGTGTGTATTTATATACTTATATATATTTTTAACTTGATTGTCAAATTTATGTACACCTTTTGCAATTCGCTGTAAACAACAGTTCTTTGCTAAATAAGGGTTGTCTGGAAGAAATCGCTTCCAGAGCGATAAGACCGCCTATTGTACCTTGTATATATTTATTTCATTTTGTCTCGTTCTAATGTTTATTGGTGTACAATGAACAATATATTAATTGATTGATTGATTGATTGATACAACAGTGCTGACTCCTTCTTCAAAAGAAAATCACCTTTAACAAACGCACAGGATCATTTTATTTATTTATTTATTCTTTATTGCACTAAATATTTGTACAAAAGGCGAGCTTAATGCTATATGGCATTATCTACCAGCTAAACTTGGGTAGAACAGAAAGTGAGTTTGGGCAGTTAAGTTGTCATGATATAATTCAGTTCTAATATATACATGCAACACATACATAAAATATATACATATATATAAAATATATATAATTCGTATACATATATAAATAAATACACACATTAATACATATATATATATATATATATATATATATATATATATATATATATCAATAAATGTATATATAAATAACTATAAACATATAAAGTAAGTTGATTCAACTTTGTAGGCTACGGATATGCTCATATAGTTTTCTTTTAAAAACATTTTTGACAGGTATTGTTCGCAAGTCAACAGGCGATTTGTTCCAGAGGGTAATGGAAGTAACTGTGATAGAATTTGACATAGACCCAGAATGGTGGAGAGGAGTAGACAGGATCAAACTGTGTGAAGAACGGAGATTGAGAGAATGAGTGTCACTACAGAATCGAAAACTTTCTTTTAGATAAAGGGGTGAGGAAGGATCATTAAGAACTGAAAACAGAGTGGACAGGATTCGGAAATCTCTGCGCTGGCGTATAGTCAACCACTTTAACTGAGAGCGATATTCTGAAACGTGATCATATTTGCACAGGCCAAAGATGAATCGCATACAGTTGTTAAGTAACCTATCCAACCTGTTTAGCAGCTCCTGAGAAAAATTAGTTAGACAAACATCGGCATAGTAAAAATAATGGAAGAATTAGAGATTGGACGAGAAGACGTTTAGTTGAAGGAGGCAGAAAGAACTTAAGGCGATAGAAGGAACGAAGTATGCCTGTGACTTTACGACAAACCTCGGACACCTGTGATATCCAACTAAGAGACGGGTCGATAATTAAACCCAGATCATTGACATTATTTCTGAAGGATATAACGCAGTTTTCATAGTAAATGGATGGTAGTTCAGATATATTAAGTTGTGACACCATTCGACGACTACCAATGACAATAGCCTGGCATTTATTGGGATTTACCGCCATACCAAAGCGCTGTGACCAGTGTGATATACGTTGTAAGTCACGATTAATAGCTGCGATAGCAGAATCAATTACAGCAAAAGACGCTTGTGAGTATAACTGGAGATCGTCAGCATAGAAGTGGTAAGAACATTGAAGGTGGGTAGTTAGAAGATTGATAAACACCGAAAACAAGAGAAGGGAAAGAATGCCGCCTTGCGGTACACCTAGAGACAGGTCGCACCAGTCGGAAAAATCCTGACCAGACCGAATAGCCTGCTGGCGACCGCGAAGATAAGAGGAAAACAAGTTCAGTGCTGACGAGGCGAAATTTAGTCGTGAAAGTATTTCAAGGAGTAAGTCGTGATCAACACAATTGAATGCGTTTGAAAAGTCAATAAGGACAAGAACAGTCAAAGATGACCTCTCCATGCCATCTCTAAAGTCGTCTGTAACTTGAAGTAATGCTGTTGTTGTACTGTGTCCCGGGCGGAAGCCAGACTGAAATATACTAAGGAAATTGCATTTTACAATGAAAGAGGTGACTTAGTACCAATTATTCAAATCTTTGGAGAGAAACGGCAGTATAGAAATAGGTCTAAAATGGGAAGCAAGCGATGGATTTGGTACTTTAGCAAGTGACAAGACAAAAGCTTTTAGCCATAACTTGGGGAAAACACCAGTAGAAAGTGAGAAATTGATGATGTGAGTGAGAACTGGAGTAATGATATCGAGTATTCGAGATCTACTCACCTCATCAGTCACTGCAAAATTCATTCACTGCAAAATACATTTGCAGTCAATGAATCAGTGTACCTATATATGTATAATATAATGGAATAATAGGCGTAGATAGGTACCTAGATATAACTAGTCAATCTATTTATTTAAAATATAAAAGATTTTTAGTATTGATGTGGTCACTATAAGATGTTGTTAGGTTAGCTAATTACGTAATAACTTAAGACAGAAGGACCCTTAAGTAGGGACTGAATAAATTAACCAACTGGGTATTACATGGATCTCACAACTTTTTACCGTAGAAGAACTGAGTTGCGAGACTTGGTTTTTTTTTACAAGTTATGTTTTTGATGGCACCTTTTTTACAGCATATACTTCTGAACTAAGTCTGTTTACTAGTTTTGATATATGTATGGCGGCCCCATTGAAGCTTCGCGTCTAGTGTGATTGCAAGAAAAATGGTGCTATCGACAAGACTCGGTTCCTCCCGATTTAAAATTACATTAGTATTTAGATATTTGACATTTGTAGTTATGAATTTCATACATTTAGTTTTAGATGTGTCTATTGTTTAAATTTTAACTCTTTTTGTTCTAAAAGTAATAATTCTTTTAAATTGACTCTGCTATTTGCCGTTTTTTTAAAACGGTCTTTTGTGTTTTAATAAAGTTTTGTAATAGTCCATTTTATAAATTTTCTTTAGCCTTGAGCAGCTGGACTTGATCAGCAACATGCCGCCCGTGATGGACGAGGCTCTTTGGGCCACAATGTGCAAGTTGCGACGTACAAAAATCGAAAACGAAATTAGGGTAAGTACGTAATTAATCAACCTCATCTTCACCAGCAGTTCACAATTGCAACTGCAGAATATATGCCTAATCCAAGGAGTCATTGTTGGTCCTGAGCCATGCATGCAGGTGGTATGGCGATAGTCGAATGCGACTTTTTGTCTGTCTTTCCAGGTTGTAACTCCATCTAGTGACGGGCCGAACTACGCTTTGCTTACTGGTACGGCACTCCCACTCGAGAACATTTCTTTCCTTGGTTCTTCTGCTTTTTGCTCTGCAAAACACTGCTTAGTCGAATTTTTTGCAGCACGTACGGTCAGAGAGAACGTCCCAATATCTTTGTTAACTAGGGTTACCTTTAACTTAAAATTATTATTTTTTGACCCGATCTACAAGAAATAAGATATTGTATATTTATAACTTATTTTATACGTGGTAGAGTCACGCTGCAGTTATATTATAGTTGTAGTATAACAGAGCCGACTCGACTGGGTCGTCATCAAGATTACAGTCCTTCAAAAGTTCACTGCAGAACATAGGCCTATCCCAAGGAATCCCACAAAGCGCGATCCTGAGTCACCAGCATCCATTGATTTCCTGCATGTCTTACTAGGTCGTCACTCCATCTAGTGGGGGCCGCAATTCACTCCGATACGAGACTGCCACTCGAGAACCTGTCTTCCCCATCGGTTGTCGGTTCTTTGAGCTATATAGCCGGCCCGTTGACACTTCAGCTTACTAATCCGTTATAATATCCAGTCAGACCTGCTTCTGCTTTCCGAGGCACAGTGGCGAAACACTGTCTATGATAAAATTGCACGGGCACAGATGCGCGCGATGGTGCAAGAGATGGCATACGTGGAGAGTGGGTCGAGCGTCTGGCATAAGGCGGTGGGGGCGCGGCGTACTCTGCTGGCGCGACAACTGGACGACGCGCAGGAGCACCGCCAACGCACAGAACTGCTCGCCAGGAACAAGACCATACAGGTGCTGATGACCCAATTATTTTTATATATATTACTATGTATCCTACTGTGGCAGCGCTATCGTCGCGCAAAGCATCGAAATCCAAATGACGATATCAAATCGATATCGTCATTTGGATATCGATATCAAAATTTTAAAGTGTTTTGTTTAATACCAAAACTGGATAAAGAAATGAACTACTTTTTACTTTTCTATGGATATTAGGTCTGAAATTGGCCAAATCATAGTGAAAACGAATTATTTTTCTTTACTTTACTTTAGATTTTTTGATATGATAGATATGATTGATGGAACGGCAAAAGGTATCCTCCAAACAATAAAAGGAAATTTTTCAAAACATGAAGTACCTCTTGATCATGTCTTCGGACGAAAGCACAATCGAAAGCATAATTCAGTTCAGTCTTTACTACAAACTGAAATTCCACATCTGGTCGTTATAGAGTGCTTATGCCATTTAATACATCTCGCGACATCATATGCCTCCCGTAAACTACAAAAAATTTTAAAAAAATTTAGAAGATTTGTGCCGTAATATACCTGCATATTTTCATATGAGCCCTAAGCGAACAGAATCACTCAGATACAGGATTTTCTAAAAATTGACCAACATAAATTATTTTCTGCAGCAAATACAAGATGGTTGTCACTTCTAGCTTGTATCGACAGGATATTACAGCACTATGATTGATTGAAATTATTTTTTACGGGGGCAGTTTTTGAGGATCCCTCTAATACTAATGATTCCATCTTGAACAGTCTTAACAATCCATTTAATAAAGCATTATTATACTTCATTAGTTACGTCTTCTCTATAACTAACGATTTTAATACCTTTTTTTAAACAAAATCACCACAATTATTTATACTGCCAGAGATGTTGGTTCGCAAAACGTTGAACACTTTTTTGTGCAACTTTGTCAACTTTTGTCAAAAAGGAGCACCTCAGTCTGAGCTCGGATCTAAAGAGCCTTAAGCAAATTGACATCACTAAAACAGAAATTCACGTTATTGGTATTGGAAGCACATGCGATACTTGAAGATTTAAAGACAAAAGCCCCAATAGAAGAAGTGAACAAATTTTATGCTAGTTGTCGTAAATTTTATGTGGAAATAGTATTGCGAATCCAAAAGCGGTTCGACTTGAATAAGAAACTTTTTTGACTTATTGAAGTATGTGGATCCAAAAATAGCAAGAAATCTGGAGAAACAATCAGTGAAAGAAGTGTTTGATAAATTTAACTTTTTAACGACAAAATGCAACATGCAAAAAACAGATAACGAATGGAGAAATCAAGCTCTTATAGACTTAAAGCTTTTTGGAGTTGAAAGCGAAGAAGAATTAAAAAACATGCCAGCTGACATTTATTGGAATAAGGTTCTAAGCATGAAAAATTATCATAGTAATTTCATTTACGAAAATCTTGAAGTAGTTATTTCAGCTCTACTAGCAGTTCCATCTTTAAATACAGAGGTAGAAAGATTATTTAGTATTCTAAAAAATGTAAAAACAGATAAAAGAAATAAACTTTCTAACGAAACTCTGAACGGCTTGTTTCATACAAAGTTTGGAATGCAAGCAAACAATTGCTCAATTTTAAAACCCAACAGTGCCATGATAAGTGCAGCAAAACATTACAAAAGTAATGCTTCAGCTTCTAAATCTGCTGTGTAATCTCGGTTTTGGTGATTGATCTTTTGTTGATTTATTAATAAATATTCAAAATAATAAATTATTGTTTAATTTCTCGAATAAAAATATGCTCCTTAAAAATAAGAATTTTTAAGATCGTTTAGGGAATTTTAGGGATTAATCCTAAAAAAAATAGGGACAAACCAAAACTGTAAGTGGAAACTGTGCTGGCATTGGCTTTTGTGGCCTTTCTGCCGAATCGGAAGCGACCCTCTTTAGGGAAATGGGGGCGCAGACAGCGAGGAGCCGCTGAGAGAGGAGCCTAACTAAGGCAAATTAAGGGCGGGGAGAAGATTCGGCCTGAGCAGCCAGGAGGCGGTTTAGGTCAGCCAGGTGCGGTCAGTCGCACGCGGAACGGCAAAGCGCGTACACGTGTTCGCTTTGAGCGTAAGCGAAAGGTCATTGTACGATAAGACAATGGCATCTAAAGTGGTAAAATGTACAAACTGTAATATTGTTATAAGTGAAGTGCTTGCCTTTATACAAAACAAGGCAGATGTGATGGACGAGGAGAGCATTGTCCGAATTTGCTTCGTTACTGAGTCGTCTGCGTAACTCTACCAACAGCATCCTAACTACACTTGCTGATAGGTGGGACTCGGCCATTATGAGGCATTGGTTAAGTCTATATGTAAAACTAAATAAGTAAGATATATGTAATGTACGCGGGATGGTTAATTTGTTAAGAATATAAAGAAAAAGAAGTTATATACTAACACTAGTCTTAAGTTTTTTATTATTGTTTTTGGGGTATCTATAAAGTTTTCTCATCTGGTTGGGCAGTATAAATATATAATTGTAAATGAAAATGGTAAACATACATAAATATGAATAAAATAAAATAAATACATAAAAAATACATAAATATATAAAAACCCAACCAGATGGAAGCCCTCGGCAGGGGAGACCAGACGGCCGAAGGTTAGGGGGAAAGGGAAAGAAACCGGCGGACGATGCGGGCGGTATCGAGGAGCACCGCCTTCTGCATTTGAGCCTGGAGCGGTCCGTCACGGAGTCCCAGTCGCCTCAGATGACCCGGGAGGCTGACTGGGATTAACCCATTCGCAGAAACGACCACAGGAATAATTTCGGTCGGCAGACCACCCCACATGCCGGTAACCTCGTGAGCCAGGTCCAGATATTTTGTCACCTTATCTGTTTCGGCTTTCACGAGGTTCTCGTCATAAGGAATGGTAATGTCGACCAAAAAGATCCTTGACTGTGCCCGGTCCATCAGCACAATATCAGGCTTATTCGCAAGAATAGTCCTGTCTGTGATGATGGCCCGGTCCCAGTAGAGCCTGGCGCGGTCATTTTCGAGCACGGCTTCCGGCAAGTACTTATAATACGGCAGTTTCCGATCCACGAGGCCGTATTTCAGAGTGAGCTCCTGGTGTAGAATCCTGGCTACTAGATTGTGTCTGTGCAAATACTCAGAGTTAGAAAGCGCCGAACAACCGGAGATGACATGCCTAAGTGACTCACCGGGATGGCGACAAGCTCGACAGATGTCGACGGCGCCATCCTTTAGGATGTATCTCCGATAATTGTTGGTCTTAATAACCTGATCCTGTATCGCACAGACAAAACCCTCGGTTTCCCCAAAGAGGTCACCGAAACGTAGCCAGTGAAGGGAGGCGACTGTGTCTACGAAAGGCTCATGTAGAGCCTTGTAGAACCTCCCGTGGAGCTCCTTCTCCTTCCATACGGTCTCCCGGTCGGAAATGCACTGTACTGCTGGGTCTTGCCATTGCTCGTTGGCTAAGGATAGAGGGGTCAGTCCTTTATCACAAGAAATAACGTCCCTATAGTATGGATCATCCGCTCTCGTCAGAAAGTAATTACGGAGGCTGCACACTTCGCGATTATGCATGGTAAGCGCGCTTAAAAAGCCGCGCCCGCCATGCTTCCGCGGCAAGTACAGCCTCATTACTGACGATCTCGGATGGTGCATCCTGTGGGACGTCATTATAGTGCGGACTTTTCTGTCCAGAGCGTTTAGTTCGGTCTGAGTCCACCTAAGTATGCCAAAGGTATACATGAGAACAGGCATGACCCAACCGTTATATGCGTGCGTCTTATTCACACCGGACAAAAGGCTGTTAAGCACTTTGGTCAAGCGTGCATAAAACACATCGCAAACTGACTGTTTCATACCCGCCTCATCTACACCGATGTTCTGTGACATACCCAGGTATCGGTATGTTTCAGCCTCGGAAAGGGTCCTTATGTTGATGGGCATAGATAAATCTATGCCCTCAGAGTTAGCAACCCTTCCCCTTTCAATATGGAGGACCGCACACTTATCCGTCCCCAGCCCCATTCTAATAGAATTGCTAAAATCACAAGTGATGTTTAGCAATTCCATAAGATGAGAGCGACTGGAGGCGAATAACTTGAGATCATCCATATAGAAAAGGTGGGTCACTTTTGTACCTCCCCTCCGAAGCTGAAATCCCCTCCCGGAGCCCTCCAGTAAGGTACTGAGAGGGTTCAGAGAGAGGCAGAACCAGATTGGACTCAGACAATCGCCCTGGAAGATACCCCTTCTTATCCTTATGTGGTTCTCCGCAGCCGTCATCCGCTCGCCTAGATGACAAAGGATCGTACTCCACTGCCCCATACACTGCCCAAGGAAGTCTCTAACTGTACAGTCAACCTTGTACAGCTCGAGGACCCTCTCCAGCCATGTATGAGGCACCGAGTCGAATGCCTTTTTGTAGTCTATCCAGGCGGCGGATAGGTTCCGACGGTTGCGTTTAACCACTTTGCCAATGACCGCGTCAATGAGGAGTGGTTCCTTGGTTCCACGACCACCGCCCCGACATCCATTTTGAGCGCGCGACATCACCTGATTTGAGTTCAGGTGACGAGTGATTCTCGCGCTCAAAATGGATGTTAGTGTCTTATATATCGTAGGTAGACACGTGATGGGGCGGTATTTGCTCGGGTCTATGGTATCCCGGTCTTTAGGAACCAAATGAGTGATCCCAGTAGTGAAGAGGCTCGGGAGCGACTTTTGGTCGAGAGCCTCTTGAAATTGTCGGGCGAGCACAGTGTGACACACCACGAACCCCTTCAGCCAGTAGTGATGCAGCCCGTCGAGCCCCGGACTTTTCCAGTTCGGGGCCCTTCGGACCGCCTCAGCTACATCGTCCGGCGTTATAATGACGGGGTCCATGGGCGTAAGATTCGCACACTGACTCACCACAACTTCTGTCCAAGGGCCCTCGCGGTGGTTTACGAGCTCTGACCACAGGCCGCGCCAGAATGCGACAGTGTCGGCCTGATTCGGTGCTTGGCCCTTTCC